AAAGTGAAGTTAAAAAAATTCCAAAATTGCCTATTTCCTTGCATTTTTTCTTCAGGAAGTGGAAAAACTCAACAGGAAGAATCAAGAACTTGTGGAGAGGCAACAAAGTGGTACGTCCTGAATGCCTTGATTGAACTGTTACAGTTTGTTGTCAAGATTACCGTTGGGTACACGATCGTGTCTTAAAAGGACCCGAACCCGAATTTTTTGATGTATTATATAATTTGAACTGCAGAATCCATCTGGTATTTCTTACTCCGTGTTTTCTGTTTTCAAAAATACTTTTTCAAATAGTTGGAACTGCCGTTGCATTAGGCTAATACCGGGGCTAGTGGCATAGCATTAGTCAGCCTATGCTCATTCCTCGCGAAGTCATGCCTATTTCAGCCCGTTCGTCAAAAACGTCTTAGGCGTAGTCATTCATGCCCGGGAGACCATTGTCATGGCGAATGAGGGCCTTAATCCGCACGTTAACACCAGTCTTAAAAACAATGCTACTGACACCTTTTAAGTACGCGAGCAATTGTAGCAACTTTTAAGAATGTATCCCGGCATGCATGTAACGTGCCGATATGTAAACAATAGTGTGCTGAAAGGCATTGCCTATTACCCCCCACCAAATAGACTCCATTAAACTGAAACTGAAAATTTGGTCTACTTGAAACTGCCATGATACGCACTGAAAGGTTTGAAACAGATAGAATGGCCCCGTCATCCTTTAAAATTGTAGGTCAAACTACAATGCTCCCTTGGTAAATATGTCTTTATGCCACCTCTCCCTTATACATGATTACAGTCCGTGTGTGGCATGCATAAAACAACGAGTTCACGCCACTTTCGCACCTGTGCGCAATTTCTCTCCCAGTTAACTTGCCCGGAGAGGTAAGATTTAACGAAGTCGGGCCAGCTCGGATCCAGTGTAACTAGAATGCGTTATGACTTTCGGATATTTGCTATTTATATTGTTTTCAACTGCAAAGATAACTCGGTCTATGTCAGAACTGAGGGTCCAGCTGCACTATTTCCGTCTTCATTGACACTGACATTCAAAAGAGATCCGAGACCCTCTCAGTAAGGTCAGATGAATCTGCCGCATGGAAGTGAATATGCGTGCCCCAGGTTTTTGTGGTAAAGAAGATGGACGCGCTACCACTGAACAGTCGAAGTTTTCGGTCTCGTACAGGAGGTCATTATCAGAGACTGCCAGTGTC